TTGGGAAGATCTCCCTCAAGTGCCGGGACTGCCGCGTGGTCGCTCACCCCGAGTGCCGGGACCGCTGCCCCCTTCCCTGCATCCCGACCCTGGCAGGAACTCCGGTCAGGATCGGAGAGGTGGGTCTGGGCAGAGACCACCACCCCCCAAGCAGGCTGGTGTTGGCTGGGGTTTGGGGCTCGCTCAGCTTCACGGCTGCCTCTCCCCCCACCCGTGCTCAGAGCTGCACAGAAACGTGCGGGATGAGCTCGGTGATGCATCATCCCATAACCAGGGAGGGGGTGTAGGGGTGTGATGCGAGGAGGGCGTTGAGTGGGCAAGGTGGCAGCTCCAGGCAGGCTCTGCAGCCTTGTGCTGATGGATGCAGGGCTGTTCTTCTCCGGGCTGGTGAAGAAGAAATGATTCTTGTTTCCAAAGCTTAGATCTCGCTGTGAATCCCTGAGAGAGTATTTTCCGCGTCTCGATGACTGAATGTCTCTTTTCTTGTTTTTCCTCCTGCCTCTTAGGGGACCTTGATGGATTTTGTCCCTTCTAGTCCTCCAATGATCCCTTCCATCATCGTGCACTGTGTTAATGAGATCGAGCAACGAGGGCTGCATGAGGTAAAAAGGAAAATGAGGTGTGAAACGGCGCTAATGGAACGGGTTGCTCTGTTAGGGAAGCGAGTTGTTAACCCCAAAATCCCTTATTTATGGTGTGGATCGCGGGTGACTGAGGGAGCAACAGCTCAGGTGTGGAGAGGAGGTGGGAGTGGCAGAACATCAGTGCATCTCCTGCCTCTTTGTGCCCACAGACCGGCCTTTACCGCGTCTCTGGCTGCGACAAGACGGTGAGGGAGCTGAAGGAGAAGTTCCTCAGAGCGAAGAGCATCCCCCTGCTCAGCAAGGTGGATGACATCCACGCCATCTGTGGCCTCCTCAAGGACTTCCTGCGCAGCCTCAAGGAGCCCCTTCTCACCTTCCGGTTAAACAAGGTTTTCATGGAAGCTGCGGGTGAGAAACTGCTCTGGGACAACCTCCAGCTCTCGGGCTTTTGGTGGCTGTGGGTTTGGGCAGCAGGTCTGGGTGCTCTGTGGAGCCCTCCACAGAGTTCCAGGCGGGCAGGGTACAAAACTCTTACAGTGGAGTGGGGAATTTTCTGGCTGCCTCATTTCTCGGGGTAGCTGTGGCTGTGAGGGGAATATTGCAGCTTCTTGGACCACTTTCTGAGGTCTAAATGTTGGGTTTATTATTTTTTTTTCCCCCTCTAGAAATCCCAGATGAGGATAACAGCGTTGCTGCTATGTACCAAGCGGTTGGAGAACTTCCCCAGGCCAACAGGGACACCTTGGCTTTCCTCATGGTCCACCTGCAGAGGTCTGTTGTGCTGGGCAGGGGGGGTTGGAACCTCTTTGAGGTCCCTCCCACCCCAAACCACTCTGTGATTCTCAAAGGGGGATGTTGCTTTCCCTAATTGGCCCTTGAGAGCATAAAATCTTCACTCTGGGAAAAAAAAAACAAAAACCCTCATTCAGAGGCTGAAGTGTGCGTGTGGGATGAGGGAGTTGTATGATAAGTGAAAGGGAAGAGCTACATTCTTTCTTACTTCCCTTTCACACAGGGTGGCTCAGAGCCCTGATACTAAAATGGACATCTCCAACTTGGCCAAAGTGTTCGGCCCCACAATCGTCGCCCACGCGGTCCCTGACCCTGACCCCATGACCCTCCTGCAGGACACCAAGAGGCAGCCCAAGGTAGGGCAGCAGGAAGGGCCAGTTGGGGTGAAATCAGCCCCTTTAAAGAACTCACCTTCAAACTGACAGAGGGCAGGGTTAGGTGGGATATGGAGGGCGTGGATAAAAACATCTTCCCTGTGAGGGTGGGCAGGCCCTGGCAGAGGTTGGGCAGAGAAGCTGTGGCTGCCCCATCCCTGGAAGTGTCCCAGGCCAATCTGGAGCAAGCTGGGCTCGGTGGAAGGTGTCCCTGCCCATGGCAGGGGGTGGAATGAGGTGATCTTTGTGATCAGCAACCCACAGGCGTCTCTGTAGGTCGTGGAGCGACTTCTGCTGCTGCCCATGGACTACTGGAGCCAGCTGATGATGGTGGAGCAGGAAAACATCGACCCAGCGCACGTGATCGAGAATGTCAATGCCTACTCCACCCCCCAGACCCCTGAGGTTCAAGGTAGCCCTGGGTTCTGCTCTGTTATTAAAAATAACCCTCAATCCAAGCTGTCTGGGAGGGCTGCCAGAGCCAGCCCTTCCTGCCTGGCCTTACGGAGCAAGAGGGAGAAGCAGATACCAGATTTGTCTGGTGTTTCTGACAGAGGCTGGGGAACGTCTGGGCGTTCCCTGCGTGGCAGTGGAAGCTTCAGCTGTGCCCACAGCTGCTCACTTTGGTGCCTGTCTCTTGGCAGTGAGCATCCTGGGACCCCTCACCACCCCGGAGCAGAAGCTCTCCAAGACTCCATCATCCAGCTCCCTGTCCCAGAGGGTCCGGTCCACCTTCAGCAAAACCACTCCCAGGTAAGTGCCAGGGGGTTGTTGGAGTGACTGCAGGGCGGTCCAGGAGGGCTGAAAATAGACTTGTACCCTCCCTGGAGCAGCGCTGTGGCAGCACTAGCTGAGGGATGGTTGATGGACGCGTGTTTTTTTGGGGGGGTGGGTAAAACCTGGGTGGATGTCCCCCTGGGAGAGGGACAGCAGTGGATCTCTATCCCAGCTTCCAAACTGGCTTTTTTTTTTGTTTCTCTTGGCTCAGGTTTGGGAGCAAAAGCAAGTCAACCACCCAGCTTGGGCACCAGGGCAACTTCTTTGCCTCTCCCATGCTGAAGTGAGGACCTGGGAGCTGGTCTCGTCCTGGCATTTGCACACCCACAAGTCCAACAAACGCAGGTTGTCCCCCCCTGGCCCCTTCCTGGCAGCTTTACGTACTCAGATGTTTTGCCTTCTTTTATCTTTCAGCTTAACTGAGACTTCTCACTGGGATTTTATTGTGCAATGTGTTTTTATTCCCTGATGCTGTGCTGGATGCAGGGCTGGTGGAGACCGTAATGAGCAGGGTTTGTTCAGTGTTAATCATTAAAGCTCTAGAGGAACCGACTGACACTTTCACTAACACCTGGTTTGCTCCCCCTGTGAAGCAATTTTGAGCTGGTTGGGGTTTTTTTTTAAGGCTCCACAGGATGTTCTTGGCACAGCACCGCCCCAAGTTTTTGTCAGAACTCCAGGCTTTCCACCAGCACAGCCTGCAATCCCCACCTGGCCGGCTGTGCAGCTGGAATCCTGAGGATGGCAGTGTTGGATCGGTCTGGTGGGCAAAAGCCTCTCCTCAGTGAAGCTCCCCAGGGGCTGAGGCTTCTCCAAAGAAACCTTTCCTACACTTCGCTCACAAGGGGGGAAGTTTGTGGAGGGGTGTGGAGGTGCAAACCCAAAGGATTCCTGGGCAGCCTGGATGGATTAGGGCTGGGGAGGGGGAGGAGAGGGAGATGTGGGAGTGGGAGTCTCCCCCCCTGGGGACCTGTGACCTTGCCCAGGGCTGTGTGAAGAGACCTGGGACACACAGAAGTTTCCAAAGTGACTGTTGTTTTTATTGAGCTCTGGTAAAACTGTCCTGACTGTGCAGCGCAGTAAATTCTTGATGACCCACAGCTCTGCCCTCTGGCTCTGTTTTTGGCTTGTGCTGTGCAATTTTACCCCAGACAAGGACCATGGGGGCAGGATCATGGCCTGTGGTCCTGAGTCCAGAGGAGGGAGGAGAACAGCAGGTTTGGTCCCCAGTCTTGTGTCAGGAGGTGGAATTACCTGGGGTGGGTGGGTGGGTGTGGGTGACCTGGGGTGTTTCTCTTTCCTGGAGTAGAAAATATGTTTAAATTAAAAAAAACAGCCCCAGGTGGACTCTAAACAGAGAAGGAGGAGAACCATCAGCCTTCGAATCCTATTCCTCCCAGCAAAGAAGAAACAACCCCTGGCTGTTTTCCCCCCTCAGGATGCTGATGAGTCACTGCAGCAGCCAAAGGGGGGGGAGGAGAATTCATCACTGGAGGAGGGGGGCAGATGCTTTCATCTTCTCTGTTTGTTTTTTCCTATTACTGACAACCTTTAATAGAAAAAGAGTAATTTGGCCATTAGTTGTTAGCACTGCTGGGTGAACAATGAGCGATTGCTCTGCCTTGATTACACTGAGGCATTAATCAGGCACCCAACAATGTCTGATTCTTGAATCCTCATGTCAGCACCTTCTTCTTTCAGCAATCTCCCTGTGCCTTTGGGCTCCCAGGAGCCCCGGGATGGGGCTGAGGGAGTTGGGTTGGGGTGTTTTGGCTCCCTGGGCTTTGGGGGCAGAGCTGGGAGGGGGGAGGAGAAATTCCCAGCTCCAAGTCCCCCCAGGCCTCGGCAGAGGTTCTTGGCTCCTTCTCCTGCTAAAATTAGGGCTGGTTTGAGGACGATTCCGGTTCTGTGAAACAGCTATTAATATCATACAAAGCTTGGATGGGAGTCAAAAATAACAGCAACTGAGCAAACTGCCAACCAGCAGCCCCAGGGGGAAGTGCAGGCAAGGTTTGGTGTTGTGGAAGATAAAACTGGGGGGG